GGTCTGTGCATTATATGTGTTTTTTGAATCTTACTATTGCTCCACTTTGTGTCATTTCCATGTTTTATGAATGTGGTAGTATGTTTCTGTGGTTATGAATTTCTTTGCAAGTAAAAATATATACTGTAGTCTTCATGATATAGGATGAAAAATTGTGAAACACAATTATTTAATTATTATAAAACTCTAGCAAAATAACATGAAAGTAAACACTCTCACTTTTGCTATTGTAAATCATGTCAGGATGACTTTGGAGGCAAGATGTGCCTTCTAAATACAAAACAGAGAAAAGATAAGTATTGAATATTTATTACGAAGTGCAAACAAGTGAAAAAGGTGGTCGGTGCTTACATTTGTCAAACCACATTTAACAACTATCAGCTACATAGTTTTATAATTCAAAGTATGTATGTCATTTTTCCAAATTGGGTGGTTTTAAGGGTAAATTGACTGTGGGTGTATTTCATGTACTTCTGGGACATTTTGTTTTGTACAGTAACAACTTATGTTCTACTGAGTACGACTGTAAAAAAGATTGTGGAATGATTGTTTAGTCCTTTCTCCTCTGTGACCCTGTGTTTTCTCAGCACAAATTGGCACGGATTATATCTTTTCACATACACTAGGATTTTCCCGTTTGTGTGGCAGAAGCTCAAAATTGTTGTTTAAATCTCATTTTAAAAAAAGACCTGTGTCTTCCTCTTAATGGACTTTATTTTAAGCAGTGGTAAAATGAGTGTTTGTCATGGAAGAAGAAAAGAGAAAAGGAGTTTTAAGGGAGTGTGTTGCATTCCTGGTGAGGACACTCTCTGAGCTGTGTTTGTACGCTAAATAATCATGTAGGCTATACTATCTTTCACTTTGAAGCTAACCAATTAGCCTCTCAGGTATAAAGTTCCTTTATGTACATGAAAAAAGATTCCACTAAATAAAATCAACTTTAAACATTATTGAAATGTTAATTTAGTTTCATGCATTATCAATGTGTGACTGGGACAGTGTTTGAAATATACACACATAGAGAGATACTCATACATACTTAATTTCATATTGTGAACTTCATTCAAACAGACTATGTTAATGTGAAAGACATTGCCTATAGTCCTAGGACTCTACAGAGTAAAATCCATGTTTTCCAGGAATTTTACCAATTTTCTTCAAGTGTCAGCTTTTGTTCACCTTAATAATTTCCAAGATGTCACACTCCACTGAACGCTATACAGGTAACTTATTTTCTCTACAAAAATCAAGTGCTTTGATGGCTCAAATCCACACCTGTATTTTACATCATGACACAAATCTAATCTCATTTAATTTCAGGCTGAGGAGAGTAATGAAGGCTGAGCTAGTCTGTACCTGCTCCCAAGCTCATGTTGTTGTTTCTTTATTCATTTACTGACTATTTAGGAAAAATTCTCTTTTGAATATCAGTAATTACATTAAAAATTGGACTGCTACATAATAGGCAACATCGTTATTTTTTAACTTTTTAACTTTCAAAATCATTTGGCAGATTTATTTGAGTAAAATAAATGAAACATCATAATAATAGAAAATTATAAATCCATATGCCAAAGACAAACTGCAAAAATGAGTTAATAACTGAAATAGACCCCTCAAACTTATAGAAAGTATGCCATAATATGTATGGAATTAACAGATCCTTAAAGACAGTATTTCTGTATTTCTGTATATTGGTTAGTATCTAATAATATCAACCTTAGTTATCTCCATCTCACATTGTCCTTGCAGTTTTTCTCAAAGCAGTTAGTGGGGAAAATAAATAGTACACATTTGTGGTTTGTAGATATCTGGTGTTCAAGACAAACAAGATAGTCACTATTTTGTGCAAGGGCATAGCCTGGTGTATAGTGAAGCACTCAATAATCAAATATTTTGATTATTGAGCCAATTACTTCAGCAAATTCAACAATATAAAAAATTTAAATTTCAATACTATTATGTACACTAGTAATCAACTATACAAAATGAAATGAGGAAGCAGGTGGTATTAAAATACCATAACCTCAGGAAAGTGGTCTCCTCCAGTGTGAGCTTCTCTGGATACAGAGAACAAGCATGGCTTTCCTACTTGAGGTGCAGACATACTGAACAGCACAGACAGACACTCTATCAGAAATAAATGACAGTAATTAATAGATAACAAAGGAAGAAATAAATGGGACTGTTCTTAAAGCTATAAAAATGTACTTAAGACTATTAAAAACTTGCATTTACATTTTAAGTGTTACAATTCATTGAATTTAAGAAGCCATTAATTATCAAAGCTATTCAGAGAATGAAAGTATTCTATTCACAGTGAATATTATATTAATATATTCTCTGTGGGAAAACACAATTAAACTTCTTAATGAACTTACATAAGATAGCCAGAATTGACACAACATTTAGATAGAGAAGTAAAGATGGAGAATTTGAACTTTCACTACTATTTCAAAACTTAGGACAAGTTGGTTGTCATGAAGTCATTTGTATATAGTATATAATTAAATATATATTATTGAAATGAAAGCACATGCTTCAAAATGAACAGTTAAATATATATGTGCATATGATCATAGGTGTGGTGAGGTTGGGCATATGTACTCAGGAGAATAAAGCCAAAATCGACATATATTATTATCTTTGAGACTAAGTCTATCATTGATCCTAGAGCTCAGCATCCTTTTAGGCTGGAAAACCAATGCTGAAATTACACTAAGATTTTTGTGTTTTGGTGTATGTGTGTGTGTGTTTCTGGGTGTCTGTAAAACAAAAATTCATGTCAAATGTTTGTATAATTGCAAATAGCCTAGTAATTTTTGGAAAAATTGAGAAAACTGAATAATAAAATATGAAATTTTAATTCCACAGTGCCATTTAAAATTGCTAAAATATCAATGTATACTTAATGTGAAAACTTGCAAAGACATCAATACATATGAATTACTAATTGTAACATTAATGAAAATAATAAAATATGGAGAAAGAAATGACTGAAAGAAAAGATATATTGTAAGTAACACAAAAATGGTCAAACATGTATGGTGGCACAAATACAGGACTTTTCAGGAAGAATATTTGCCAGTGAGGTAAGGAAAAAGGAGGAAGCCCAGAACAGGAAGAGGCAGGCTGCATAAAAGCCCCTCGAGTGACAGTGATCACCACCTATATTTTTAATTCTTCCCTCTGTTAACTCCATTTCCCAGTATAATATTTCTTATAGATTATCAATCCTAATAAATGTATAACAGCAACCACCACATAATAGAACACAAAAATAGTAAAAATTAAAATATGTAACACGTCCTGACATAACTAAATAAAAACAAAAGCTCAATGAGGATAATCGAGGTGGGATTATTTTTTATGGGGGCTATCAAGACAGCGTTTCTCTGTATACCTTTGGAGCCTGTCCGTGAAATCACTGTGTAGACTAGACTGGCCACAAACTCAAATAGATCTACCTGCCTATGCTCCTGACTGTTGGGATTAAGGATATGCACCACCACTTCTAGGTTGATAATCAAATATTTTAAACATCATATTGGAAAAGTGTACTGAACAGAAAGTATAAAATAATATACTGGTCAAAATTAAAAGATGAATTTTAGAATTACAAAGTAACATTATCAATTTTCATTTCTGCAATGGAGTTCTACAAAGTTTCAAGAAGTAAATTTTGAAAGTAAATAAGTAGAGACACTAAAGATGGGCAAAAATGAAAAAATATTATATTATATTTACTCCAAATTATCTAACACATATGGTTTATGGAAATAACACACAGTTTGGAAAATAATTGGCCCACCAGGGATCACAAATACCTAAGAACATCTTAAAATTCAGGAGAATCTTCTTTCAAATTGTTGGTGAGTGAATGCAAGTTTGTAATGATTTCGTTAGACACAAGATAAATGATGATGGGTATTTACTGAGGAACAATTTGAGGTGTAGAATCCAGGAGATTACAAAGAGTATTGTCTATTATCACTGCTCTTTACTGCTTCCAAGTAGCAGAAGTTAAGTCCATATTCCTGAGTTATTGTTATGGATCTCTACAAATTTGAACAGGAACTCATAAATCCATGAGACTTGCAGAAGCCAGAGGAGCATTAGGAAATCTTTTAATGCAGAAAGGCATTCAATCAATCAATTTAGTTATGGTACTTTTGAATTACAAAGACTACCACGACTAGATTTAACTAAATGTGCACTACTGGTTCAGATATCTTCATAATAAATAATATATCCATAATGTAATCCAATTCATCCTTAAAAGAGATGAATCATGCCTAATATTGTAAATCATAAAAAAAAATCACAGGACTCATAGTTCATGGCAGTTAGAGGCCCTTAAAACCACTTTAATAAAACAGTATAATATCTAACTGCATTACCCTTTTGTCAGTTTTTCCAATGCATATTTCAGAGCTAGAAACAACAAATGGATTCATTGGGTTATATTTATAAATTAGCAATATGTAATTTTGTACAGATATAAAAATTTATGAATTTTTAATAAATTTCAGACTGGAGTGATGTGTGCACAGTAAAAGTTTGGGAATGCTTAGGTGGAAGTAATTTAAATGTACAAGTCATGTATTTCATAGTTGTAATTTTTACTAAAAGGAAAAAAGTGTGGCAAAGTTACTTGGAAAGTACAGTTTTAACATGAGTGTAGAATGAGATAGGATAATTTGGATGAATATGACCCAAGCTCATATTAATCTATGAAAACTATATATTTATTTAGAAACATTAATCCCCTTGTATTAAGGCTGGGCAAGGCAACCCAGTATGAGGAAGAGGTTCCTGGAAGACAGGCAGAGACTTAGAGACAGGCCTTGTTTTCAACACCGGGAGTCCCAAAGTAGATCAAGGTAGACAATGGTCAGACATATGTAGAAGGCCTAGGTCAGTCCTGTGGAGGTGCACTAGCGCTCTATGCAGAGTCTGTTTGTTCCCATGAGCCCAGGTTAACTGATTCTGTGAGTTACCTTGTGGTGACCTTGATTCTCCAGACTTATACAATCCTTCTTCCCTCTCTTCAACAGGATTCACCAAGCCTTGTCCAACATTAATACAAGCACAGTTTCTTAGTCTTACTGCAATTTGATACTCCTATCTTTGTTGATACTTAATGGAGGCCTATCTCTTTCAGAAGAGAAACAGAGGACTAGATTGGGAGGGAATGGGGGAAATAGAGGAGAAGAGTAAGCAAATTATGTTTTGGATAAAAAATAGATGAAAATTTTAATTAGTAATTGGAAATACAAATTAATACTAAAATAATACTTGTACATGAAGCATGACAGATAATCTGGTTTGTGAAGTTGATTTCATTGCTAAACATCCAGGGGTAAAGGGGAACACACTCTGGGTGTGTATGTTCAGATGTATAAAGAAAAGAGGGTCCTCTTTTCTTTATACATCTATGTTGTTCCATCTATGAATGATTTAAAAGTTGTTCCATGTATGAATGATTTAAAATTTGAGTAGCAGTAAACTATCAAAGTGAAATGTCGTTACAGAAGTAGGTTTCCAAGGGCAACACTGTGGAGGGTACATCTTGGATCTGATACATTCTGGTCATTGTTTTCTGTGCTTTATAATGTCCTGCCTTCATGGAACACTGCTTCAACAGAGACTGGGAAACAATGCAGCAAACCAGCTGTTCCTGGCACCCTCTGCAGTCTCAAGCTAAGAGAAATGTTCCTATAAATCATTTGTCACAGTATTGAAAAGTCTCACTAACACACTTGAGTCAGTGAATAGGATGCATTCCAACAAAACTAGATTTGTAAAAATATACTAAGGAATATTTGACCCTCAGCAGCTTGAAACTTTATGAATATAAGAGGACACTTCTTTCACAACTCTTTGTGGAATTACTGTATAACACACTTTTCAATAATGTAAAAAGGAGCAAATAATGCCAGACTTACAGAAGAAATACTGGGCTTCCATCAATGTGAGTAACTCAGTGTGTTTCTATGGGCTCCTAATTTGCCACATGATGCTGGAGAAAAGAAAATTTCCTAAGGGTTCAGGGAGTAGAAAAGAATAACAGGAGGCCTGGTATCAAACAACAGAAGAATATACTTCGGAAATTTGAGGTACATGGATGCCAGCTGGAGATTCTTGTGGACTTTAGACAAGTAAGTGTCTATAGGAATGCTCAAAAGACTAAAAAAAATCTTTCATATGAGGTAAAGCAAAGAATACTGGAGAAAATATAACTAATCCAAAAGATTTGAAAAAAATTATTTTAACAAATTAACCACACACAAAAATGGACAATGGGCAGCCCTGAAAAGATAGAAAATTATATTACACAAATATAGCAGTGCATGATTCATTTCTTAGAACTATATATGCAAATAATTATAGTTTCATATGTGGAACATCAACTAATATTTTAAAAACACCATGAAATTACAGGATAGTAAGGATGTATGAATCAGAGGATTTATAGGAAAAAATAGGAATAAATTATTTAATCATATCATAACCTCAAATCTTAATATTTTTTTAAATAAAAAATATAAATTGTTCCTAGACATGGATTATTGTTATTCATCTTTTTCTAGAAAGAGACAGAAAAATATGACCCTTCAATTAGGACAGGAACATAAATCCCATTAAATTAAAATAAATTGCTCTAAATTTCTTCTTGTTGGACTAGGAAGATATTGTGTTTAGGGAGGCAATTGAGGCACACATATAACCAAAATCCTCAAACCAGCAATGAGAATGACTTTTGTCAGCTGCACAGGTATATGTTCCCTGCTCTGCCTGCCAGCAGCTCCACTGAATAAACACCACCTTGCACAATAATTATTTTTGATGTACATATATGAGGCACTTTTAAGAACCTTTTCAAACTTGGAACTAATAAGATTCTTTAATAATGTAAGTGAAATTGGGGCGCCTAGTCCAGGAAATATCGCTTCTAAAGGAAAATAATTAATTCTCAGGAACTAGATTCCCAACAGAGAAAAATCTCTAAGCTGGGTTATTTAAGGAAACACCATGGGGACAGAATGACGACAACACAACACTTGTCTATCCAATTATTATTAAGGCACCTCATATTGAGAATTAGGCAAGGAAATAAGAAGACTGTGTGAGTCTTGGTGTAATTTGATGTCTGGCTAGAGAAATCCATTAAACTGGTAGCAGGTGTAGACAAACTACAGGTAGTATTTTGTACTGTTGATTCATTATTTACAAATATATAATTCAATAAACTCTTTAATTTTGAATTGCAATTAATAAAAGCCATTAATAAAATATGACATGATAAATTGCCTTTTATATTTTTTTAGTTTTATATTTTGGAGGGGCAAGACAGGGTTTCTCTGTGGGGCCCTATTATTCTGAAACTCAACATGTATACCAGGCAAGCCTCAAACTCAGAACTTTGACTTCCCTTCTCCCGAGTCCTGTAATGAAAGGCATTAGCCAAGACTGTTTTGCTAAAATGAATTCTCAACACGTCAATTCATATATAATTATGAATCCAACTCCATGAAATGTCTTGCAACCACTCTCCTACACTGCTATGCTTACTACAAATCTCATGCTTTGGTGAAGCACCATTTACTTAGAACTTCCATATCACCCTGACACATTAGGTTTCTATGTTATAAAAGTCACACTAGAGGTTGTTATAGAAACTACATCTCAGAAAGGAACTGAGTGGTTCCTTTTAAGCAAACACCTGTATGAGTACATAAGAATAATCTAATTAACAGAGTTTTTCATTAAAATATAATCTCTACATGCACAATACTCACTGAACCTCAGGGACCTCACAATTGATAATTGGTGTAATATGATGTCTGAATAGAGAAATCCATTATACTTGTAGCCCATGTGGACAAACTATAGGTAATATTTTGTAATGTTAATTCGTCATTTACACATACATAAATAAATTAAATCTTCATTTTTGAATTACAATTAATAAAAGCCATTAATAAAATATGACATTATAAACTACTTTTTTATTTTTTCGCTTTATTTTTTGGAGGGTCAAGACAGAATTTCTCTGTGGGGACCTACTGTTCTGAAACTCACCATGTATATCAGCCTAGCCTCAAACTCAGAACATTGACTGCCTCTGCTCCAAAGTCCAGCAATGAAAGCATGAGCCAAGACTGTTTTGCCAAAATGAATTCTTAGCACTTCAATTCTTATACAATTATGGAGGTATATATAATACTATTATTACATTATGATAAAATCAAGTAAACTATACATTCAGATCCAACTCTATGAAATGTCTTCCCACCACATCCCTACAGTGCCATGCTTACTACTGATCTTACTACTTACTACTGAGCTTTGGTGAAGCAGCATTTATTTAGAACTTCATATTACCCTAAAGCATTAACTTTCTAAGCTATAAAAGTCATACTAAAGGTTGTTATAGAAACTACATCTCAGAAAGGAACTGAGTGGCTCCTTTTAAGCAAACACCTGTATGAGTACATAAGAATAATCTAATTAACAGTGTTTCTCAGTAAAATATAATCTCTATATGCAGGAACTTATGGAACTGATGACTTTTAGTATTACCTGAATCATCAGTGATCTTACTTCTTTGCCTTTTGGCTGTAGTAGCAGGTGTTATTCTCTAGACATGCTATTACATTCTTGTACATTCTATGACTGTAAAACTACTTTCCAAATTCCTGTATATTCAAACAATCATGTAAACATTACCTATGGCATAGACAGAGCCATTGTTCCCTCATTTTACTCACCCTATATACTCAAATCCCAATCTGAATCCCTGTTGATGACCATTACCACAGACCCTTTACATTATGGCTACATGATTAGATCAGGTTCCAGCTTTGGGGATGCCAGTTGCTTATGTGTATTACTGGTCTAAATGTAACTCCTAATCTTTTGACCTCTGTACCTATAAAGAACACTAACTGAAATTTGCATGTATTTTATTTCATCTAATCTAGTATACCTGCAGTATGTGAAGTACTTATTAAATTGAAAAACTCTCACAGCTTTTTGCTATAGTTCTTACCTTACAACTGAAGTATTTCTCATGGCCAAAAATTATCATGAAAGACATTTTTCTGTAACCACAGAAGCAGCCATGTTTCCTCTGCAGCTGCTTACTGACAATTCAGTCACTGATATGGCTTCCCAGGTAGAAATTATTCATATGGGTATGAAGCATACCTGTTACCAAAGAGAGAAAGACTATTATCATGTGATTTCTCAAATAACTTTAATTGTCCAGGTGACCTCAATTTATTGCTATACTGCACCACAATCTCTATTGTCCATGCCTCTCTACCATGAACCCTACTACTCTCTTATGAATTCAAACCAAAGTGCTGAAATTTTACTCTGTAATAAAATGATAATTTGTGCAAATTATTTCAGTTTATTGTCTCTTTCTGTAGGTTAAAATGCTGAACACAAACACTTGGGGGATGGCACAGTTGCCAATGACCATGCTTGCTTGGGCAAGGTCAGAATGACATAGCAAGGCTTTAAATATAAGAGATGCACTCTTGAGGCCCTTTGTCCCTCTCTCCCCTGAATAAATGATCAAGCAGGCATCTGGTGTAATCCTGGTTGGTGGCTCAAGAGCGTGAGGACTTTCCTCATAAACCATCTGTTATGAATCTAGTTCTGATTTCATTTGTTCCACTTAAGGTTGTGTCATATTGTAGGGGGAAAGGCTTACTGTGCCCACTTGGGGACTGGCACAGGTGACTCTGTCCATACCCACTTATGTGCATGGTCAGCATTTCCCCCTATATCTTTGATATATTAAGAACAAAATCCTTGTTCTTACCAAACAAAACTTCAGTTTTGGTGTTTTCATCTACACTTCTGCTACTGCTCAGCCCAATGTTTTCATCAGATTGTCTTTTCCCATCAGGTGCTTTAGACAGAGGTCTCTGACTTCATAATCTCTGTCCTATATAATCAAGCCTGTAACAAATCCATTGTCAGTTTTGAATAGCTGCTTAAAACAAGTTGCAGTGATTTAGTAATATCCATGAGAAGATATTTCTGTGAAAAACAGATATTTGGAGAAATGCTAGTTGGAAAAGTAAAATAATCAGCCCATATTCAGCCACACCCAAGAGACTGGATTTGCCCTTGTTCAATAGAATAAAATCTTTTTTATATTAGAATGCAAAAGTCCAGTGACCAAAAAATATAAGATATCTTACAATTCTTATTTTAAAGGTCTATTGGGACTAAATAAGTACTTGAACAGTTATTTCTGCAAATTAGTTCTATAAGGACTCAAGAAATAAACCTGAAGAAAATAGAATGACAAAGGATGATAAAATGCCCAGGAGATTATCATTTTATATTTACTGCCAAAAAGTTATGATACAGAAGTATGAGAATGTATTAAATTGAAATTAAAAATGCTTGGGGAGTAACCCCCAGAAGAATATATATATATATTACAAACAAGATTGAATTACATGACAACCCCAGCTCACTTCTCCCTCCCTTCCTCCCCTACCATCCCCCCAACTAAAGCCGTACCTATCACATATCCTTTCTTCTAATCTAAACCTGTTGCAAACTTTCTGCTCTCTCATAACCTCTGCATCCTTCTTCTTCCCTTCTCTTTCTCATAGCTCCCTACCCCCTCTTCCTCTGTTCTCACTTTGTTCAGGGGTTTGTGACACTTTCCCCACTCTAGGGGACCATATATATCTCTCTAGGGTCCTCTTTGTTTAGTAATTTCTCTGGCAGTGTGGGTTGTAGGCTGGTAATCCCTTACTCTATGTCTAAAATCCATTCTTAGTTTGAGTGGTATCTAGGCTGCTTCAAGTTTCTGGCTAGTACAAATAGTGCTGCTATGAACATTGTTGAACAGATTTCTTTTTTATGAGTGTGCTTATTTTGAGTATATGCCTAGGAGTGGAATTGCTGGATCCTGTGGTACAGTGATTCCCATTGTGTTGAGGAGTCAGCATAGTAATTTCCAAAGAGGCTGTACAAGTTGACACTCCCACAAGCAATGGAGCAGTGTTTTCCTTTCTCCACATCCTCTCCAGCATAAAATGTCATTGGTGCTTTTGATGTTCTCCATTCAGAAGGAGTAAGATGATATCTCAGAGTTGTTTTGATTTGCATTTCCCAGAGGTCTAAGGATGCTGAATACATTTTTATGTGTCTTTCAGCCATTATAGATTCCTCTATTGAGAACTGTCTATTTAGTTCTGTACCACACTTTTATTTAGTTCTGTACCACACTTTCAAATTGGATTGTTTGTTGTTTTGGAGACTAGCTTTTTGAATTCTTTGTGTATTTTAGAGATCAGCCCTCTGTCAGATGTGGGGTTGGTGAATATCTTTTCCTAGTCTGTGGGCTGCCATTTTTTCTTGCTGACTGTGTCCTTTGCCTTACTGAAACTTCTCAGTTTCAGGAGGTCCCATTTATTAATTGTTGATCTCAGTGTCTGTCCTACTGGTGTTATGTTCAGGAAGCTGTCTCATGTACCAAATAATTCAAGGATATTTCCCACTTTGTCTTCTAATAGGTTCAGAGTGGCTGGGTTTATGTTGATGTCTTTGATCCATTTAGACTTAAGTTTTTTTGCAGGGCGAAAGGCTTGATTCTATATGTAGTCTTCTGCATGTTTGCATCCAATTATGCCAGCACCATTTATTGAAGATGTTGTCTTTTTCCAGCGTATATATTTGGATGGTTTGTCAAAAATAAGGTGTTCATAGGTGTATAGGTTAATATCATGGTTTTCAACACTATTCCTTTGGTCTACCTGTCTATTTTTGTGCCAATACCAAGCTGTTTTCCGGACTATAGCTCTGTAATAGAGCTTGAAGTCAGGGATTGTGATGCCTCCAGAAGTTCCTTTATTTAACATGGTTGTTTTGGCTATCATAGGTCTTTTGTTTCTCCATATAAAATTGAGAATTGTTCTTTCAAGGTCAGTGAAGAATTGTGTTGGGATTTTGATGGGGATTGCATTGAATCTGTAGATTGCTTTTGGCAATATTGCCATTTTTACTATGTTTATCCTGCCTATCCAAGAGCATGGGAGATCTTTCCATTTTCTGTTATCTTCTTTAATTTGGTTCCTTAAAGACTCAAAATTCTTACGGTACAGGTCTTTCACTTTTTGATTAATGTTACCCCAAGATATTTCATGTTGTTTGTGGCAATTGTAAAGTGTGATGTTTCTCTGCTTTCTTTCTTCAACAATGTCTCATCCATAAATAGTAGGACCATGGATTTTTTTAGTTAGTCTTGTACCCTGCCACTTTGCTGAAGGTGTTTATTAGCTGTAGGAGTTCCCTGGTAGAGTTTTTTGGGTCGCTAATATAGACTAACATATCATCTGAAAATAGTGAGAGTTTCACTACTTCCTGTCTGATTTGTATTCCCTTGATCTCCTTTTCTTGTCTTATTGCTCTATCTAGAACTTCAAGGACAATATTGAAGCGGTATGGAGAGAGTGAATAGCCTTGTATTGTTCCTGATTTTAGAGGACTTGCATTGAGTTTCTCTCCAACTTGATGTTGGCTGTTCGCTTGCTGTATATTGCTTTTATTATGTTGAAGTATGTTCCTCCAAGACCTACATCATAAAGGGGTGTTGGATTTTGTCAAAGGCTTTTTAGGCATCTGGTGAGATGA